GGTAGATCACCTTATGAGTCACTATATCTACTTGAAACTTGGAACTGAAATCTACTTTTTTGTACGAGTCAGACGAAGAGCAGTCCGAAGCCAACATGGACAGCACGCAATCAAGAACCGCGACGTCGCCCGGCATGGCGCAGCCGGGTCCCCACCCTGGAGCCAGGCCCGGGGCCTGGTGGCCGGGCCTTAGCCCACGGGGCCCGGCCGGGCTCGGCCCGAAAGGGTGACGTGGGCAGTCCCTCCTGTGGGCCCACCACCTGCAGAGGGGTCCGTGGTGGCGAAACCGTGCAGAGAGGACTGGGCAGCAGTCGAAGGCGGAGACCTCGGCGACCCAGTCCGCACACACAATTTCTGTTGTTGATTTTACTAGTCCTCGTTCAAAAGTTTCAGGGCTCTATCTATGTCTGTTTCACATTTCTGAAAAGAAACCTTTGGCACCAAAAGGGTTAAGAAAAAGTTAGGTTATCGACAAACTTCTAAAACCCACTTCTCCCTCACTTCACTTGCGTTAACATGCTAAATGGTAGCGGTTATTTACGATGAGAAAAGTGGAGGCATGGCTGTTCAGTATGGGACACCATGAAATAAAATGTCATTTCAGATAATTGGTGGCTTGAGCTGAAATTCCAAATTCGTCTTGCTCCATGTATGCCGACTTTAAAGCTAAATTCTTTGACACTTTGAGAAATTGCATAAATTACTGTAATTTAGCATCCATTTAGAATCCGACAAGTTGTTGCTGCTAACTCCCTCTCTGCCTCTTTCTCCTACCCAACATTTGTCTTCATCAAGCCCAGAGTGTCCAAGTACAGTTAATGTGATTGCACACATCATAATGCGGCCTTGTGGGAGGTGGGGGGTTAGCGCAGTGGCTGATTTCATAGCTATGTTTACCTCATCTGCTCAATGACGGAGCAGCCGGAATGATTCAATTACACCAATCAGATCGCATCAGGATTTCTATGTGGGTCGCCTGCGCCTGGAGTTCTTTATCGCTTCCTGACATCACTTTCCATCCACTTCTGGCTCTGCTGATTTTCTTACTTGTCTGTATACATTTAGCAGTGTTAGGCCGGTAATGTATCCCTCTTCACTGGAAACTGTCCTCGATTTTACATGAATGAGGAGATGATGTCCCCATTTTAAGTGAGAGTATTCAAACATATTCTTTTTTTTTTGAGGATGGAAAGTTGAGGGTTTTTTTTTATGTTTTTAAGATGTTTTTGATGGAACAGATTGTGAGATTGTGTGAGAGATATCGACGACATTGATATGAGAACCGTACGTAAGATAGCAACAGAGATTATTAAACCATTCACATACATCTGCAATTTGTCATTTCAACTTGGCGACTTCCCCTCCCAAATGAAGAGGGCAAAAGTCATCCCAATATTCAAATCAGGAAATAAAAACAGCTTCAATAACTATCGGCCTATCTCCCTTCTGCCACAGTTCTCCAAAATACTGGAAAAATTGTTTGACACTAGATTACGTGATTTCATTCACAAGTGCAATTTACTGTCTGTCGCTCAATATGGATTCAGAAAACAACTATCAACATCTCTTGCTCTGATAGACCTGATGGAGGACATTACAAACGGTATAGAAAAAAAATATTTTGTGCTAGGAATATTCATTGACCTCCAAAAAGCTTTTGATACGATCGATCATCATATTTTAATAAACAAAATGGAGGCTTATGGCATAAGGGGGCCGGCCCTAAACTGGTTGGTGAGCTATTTGAATGGTAGGAAGCAACTTGTACAGTTTGAACAACAGAGGTCTGGTTTCAGAGACATCACCTGTGGTGTTCCCCAAGGGTCAATTCTGGGACCCACACTGTTTCTCATGTATATCAATGATGTATGTAAAGTATCAACATTAATGAAACTTATACTATTTGCGGATGACACCACAATTACATGCTCAGGAAATAACTTGGAGCAACTCTTGTCCCTCGTAACAGTGGAGATGACCAGATTAATGAGGTGGTTTAATAATAACAAATTGTCACTCAACTTAAAAAAAGACTAAAATTATGCTTTTCAGTAATCGTAAAAGTAAAATACCAGTCAGAATAGTACTTGATGATACACCTATTGAGAATGTCAAACAAAATGTATTTTTGGGAGTTATTATAGACGACAAAATTACATGGAAACCTCACATAAGTTACCTGCGGACAAAAGTTGCAAAATGTGTGGGAATGATGAAGAGATCCTGTCATTTAATTAATACCAATGCGCTTATGTTATTATACCATTCTTTCATAATGTCATATCTGAATTATTGTGTTGAAGTGTGGGGAAACTGCTATAAGTCTCATTTGCAACCCTTATTCATTTTACAAAAAAAGGCCATAAGGATTGTGTCTAATGTTCACTACAGACATCCTTCTAATCCCTTGTTCATCAAAACGAATCAACTTAAACTACATGACTTGGTTAGCCTAAGAACTGCTCAGATAATGTTCAGGGCATCTGAAAGCTCTCTGCCAGCAAACATACAAAACCTTTTTCATGATAGAGACGCCCATCATAGATACAGGCTTAGAGGAAACAAACAATTTTATGTCCCTAAAGTGAGAACAACATTGAAATCAATGTGTGTCTCAGTCAGAGGAGTGAAGATCTGGAAAGATTTAACGGAAGCATTAAAATCATGCTCCAACATGACCAAGTTTAAAAAATACTTTAAAAAAGAATTACTGCAGAAATACGCAGAAGAGGGAGCATGATTCCCTGAGCAGTAGCTGAGCATTGAGCGAGTGGTGTGTGGTCGGAGAACGTCCGGGGCCAGTGTCTGAGTGAGTGAGTCTTGTCCTGTTCTGTCCTGTCTTGTCCTGTCTTGTCCTGTCTTGTCCTGTCTTGTCCTGTCCTGTCCTGTCCTGTCTTGTCCTGTCCTGGTTGTCCTGTCCTGGTTGTCCTGTCCTGGTTGTCCTGTCTGGTTTTGTTGTGTGTTGTATCGCTACAGTATTGTATATGCTCTACTTTACCTGACCGGTGGGGGTAGTCCAAGGGGATATAGATTTGTTTTTTGTTTTGCTTGTTTTGTTTTTTGTTTTTGTGATTTCTTATTTTTGCATTGTGGTTGCGTTGTAGAGAGTGTGTGAGAGGTGGTTGGATATAAATAAGCTTCTGCTTCTGCCAACCCCCTTTTCAAACCATGCATGTGCTTTACAAGATGAACCGTTGTAAAAAATGTTTGTGCAGGTTTTGAAATAAACTAATTGATTGATTGATTGAATTCTAATCACAACATAACATTTGACAGTTGTATGTATGCATGTAAATACTGTACATAAATACTTTTTCCCTTCTCGTTGAATTTCTATTGCCCACCATAGATTTGACTATGATATGCATTTGATATCCATTCATAGCACCCATTCAACAGCTATGGACATTCATAAATCAAATCTATCCTAAGAGTAAATGAATGGGCCCAGACTGAAAATTCACATGGTATTTAGTTTGGTGTTGTCAGGCCTCAAAGTACTACACCCCCCCCCCTCTGGTCTGGGACTGGCACAGCTGCCCTGGGGCTAGATACAGCTGCCAGTATGTGCCAACTCATCTGATTCACACTAGTGTCTTGAGTCATGGTCACTATAAAAATGGTAAAAACAAAAATTATTCTGCACAATATTTACTGCGAATATAAAACACTTCCAAAGTTAAACAAGTCAAAACCCCTGACTCCTGTTTGAAATATTTTGGTGACACCGGGTCTCGCCTCTTTACGGGCTGCGTCTATCTGCCAAGTGCAGCAGTGGGTGTAGAGTGGGCGCAGTCTTATTTTCTGGCTGTCATATCCACTCTGGGATAGAGGAAGGTGACAGGCCTAAGTAATTACTGATCCCTGTGAGCCGTACACTGCAGTGCGATACAGCATTGTTTCAAGAGCTCTCTATAGCCAATACATGCGAAGGGACACCATCTGTGAAGCAGGGCCTCCAATAAAAGCCGCATTTGAGATGACATTTCAAATTTCGGATTAAGAGTCAAAGAAGATGACATTTCATTCTATATCCAGGGCTAAGAGCAAAATGCAATATACTTGGCGTTGAAATGAAACAAGGCAATGTTCCAGCAGGTTCTTTGTGTAATAATGTGGGATAGAGTTTGCATAACAGGCCATTCAGGATGGAAATATCGAGTCTGTGAGACAAGAGACACAAAATGACTTGGTTAGAGTTTTGCACATACAACAGTTTTACCATTTTCATTTTTTAGTTTATGCAGGCTGAGTTCAGCACAGAAGACATTGCGCCTTGGGATAGTTTTTAATTTCAATACATTTGGATTTGCTGCTTGCCGTTGAGCATAGTTAACTACACTGCTCTTTTTTCACTGAATTCACCTCAACCTGGAAATGTGCAATGTCTGCATGTGTGTGTGTGTGTGTGTGTGTGTATGTGTGTGTGTTTGTGCAAGAACTCTGTCTGGATGTCAAATCAGCCTACATTTTTGGCTTGCACATGTCAGACTGGTGTGGATCTTTTCATTTAGTAAATGTCTCTTTTTCTTGTTGTTCCTTTTCAAAATATGTATTATTACAAGCACTGGAAGCATCCACCTGGACGCTTGATGCCATAGTGCAGTCTTGATGCATTCTGTATGTAGTAATATGCATTTTTACTTTCATAACTTATTTGCATCAAGAGCCAAAGCAGTTTCCGAGTTTTTGACTTCCTGTTACTCACAATGGCAACAAAAACATTTCTGATTCTGATGTACAGTATGTGCTCAAGCCCTTATTACAGTCTGATAGTGTTGATGATGAAATTATCATTATTATTATTATCTTTAATTGTGGTATGTTCTAGTGTACAGAATATCCATTAAAATGAGAAGCCAGAACTAAACCAAGACCAGAACTCTACCAGAACAGACCTAAACCAAGCCAGAGACCATACCGTGATTCGTCTGTTTGCACACTTTTCTCTTTCCAACACAAGTAAAATCCCCTTTCCAATGTGTTTGCTGCTCTTCCAGGACCACGCTGAGATCAACTCCACCGTCCTGCGCAGCCAGACCAACACAGCGCGCGTGGAGGGACTGCGGCCAGGTACGGTCTATGTGGTGCAGGTGCGCGCCCGGACCGTAGCCGGCTTTGGCAAATTCAGCAGCAAGATGTGCTTCCAAACCCTCACAGATGGTAAGGATCCACACGCCAGAAGACACGAGCACCGCCACACTTCACACGTTTACACACTCTCTCACTCCACTGTGCATTTGTTAGTGCGCAGAATTATGGTTAATGGCATTATATCTACAGCAAAGGAGAGGTCTTGAATATTGTAATATGTATACAGTGGAGTGTTTGTTTTGTACTTGATCCAAAATGCAAAGCTAATTGTATTTCTTTTACCATTCAGCCCTTCTGTTGTTGTGGAGATATCCCAGAATGCATAGCTGTGATTACAATTTGATCAGATTATTGTTAATGGTGGGGGTACAGACTGACCAACAACACCTGTTATATTGGCAATAAACTGAGGCTAGCTCACATAGCGAAAAACAAAGAGAAATCTGTACTGTGAGTTATAACAGTAATCGTTTTCAACCATTTGTTAAACCAAGGGATCTAGAAAGTCACTGTGACTGACATGACTCTTTGAGTTACTTTGAATTGTGCCATGAAAATCTTGGTCATGATAAGGTACTCAAGAGAAAACCGAAGTCTTAGTAATCAGAAAACTGTAATGGCTATAATCAAATAGTCGAGAACAGGTTGGAAGTTTACAAAAGGCTTTTGAGGGAGGCATTGTTCGAGCCTCTTGATGTGGATTCCACTTAATTTCCTCATACTTGCATTAATTTTATTCAAGGTATTCAAAGGACCAATTTAAACCAATTGAAAGAGGACAAATAAGAATATGCACTAAAGCACACCCATCAAGGTTTTGGGGAAGTCTGACAAAATATATAAACTAAACATCAACAACTAGAAGGTCCAGGTCTAATAATACAGAGCGTTAGTCACAGTGACTGGAACCTCAAGTGAAGGTCACTTACTCAAATTGTGAAGATGGAGAGAGGTTTTTTTCACATTCAAGCCCCAGTTAGACCCGCTCCCAGAGGTTCCTGATTGGACACAATGAATTCAAATCATTCAAAGACAGTTGATTACTAAGACTATTCTCCTCCAACAAATCTCACTCGTGATGGTTATGCTAATAGAGTTTAACTTAAGTACAAATGTATTATCAAGTCTTGGGTAAACACAACTCCAGTCCACCCTTTTATCACTATGATTCTCTCTTAAAGCATTTGTGGGCAGGCATAGAGTTCAAAAGGACCAGTCTCTCTCTCTATCTCTGAGCTTATAATCCATTTCCTCCCAGTCCATAATGCATCAAACCGGGATGGCATTTTCAAGTTGCTTAGCGTTAATGCAGATGATAGCGATGAATGGGGCAGTGCAGGGCTTAGGGAGTGAGAGATGGGAGGAGTGATAATGATGATGAACCTGACTCCTTAAGTGTGCGTGGCAGATGTACGCTGGCCCTGAAACACTCCCTCGTTGATGTTCTCTCCCTTGTTCTATCGCATAAAAGTGCACACCGGCTGCACCAATGCCAAGAACTCTCACTGCTGCATGGAGGAGCAGAGTGGCAAGAATGTTTTACTCGAGTAGTTAACAAGAAGAATACAATGATAATATGGTTGCTGCTTTAGTATTGCTTTGAGTTATAAATAGGAACAGCCCCTGTACTTGTATCTGTGGTAGTAGTGGTAGTAGTAGTGGTTGTGGTGGTAGTAGTAGAAGTACTTTTACCATCAAACTGCATCCAAACCATTCAGCAGTGGCCTATAATTTACACACACAAAAACTAGGGGTTAAAAAAGAAGGAAAATGCATGAAAACGAATTATTTGTGCTACATCTTCTCAATCCAAAATAGAAAAGACTGACATTACTTTTCATCAAAAAAGTGGATATTAAAGGGTTAGCGGATTAAACCCTTTGATACACATTTTAGGTCCAATCACTTTTTGAGTATCCTGATCACTAAAACCAAGTTGTACAACATGCTTTTTATGTCATGTGTGACTTAAGACCGACTGTATTTAATGACACACACCACAAAAAGTGGAATAGAATGCAAAATGTCTCTCCATAGAGAAGTTTATTTCCTGTATTCTAACGACTGAGTGGCTCAACTCAACAGCACATTAAAAGGTATTGATTGATGTCGCGATCTAATCTATCTAATATAACCATTTCACATAATTTTCGGGATGGTTCTAGAAATACCGTTGAGGATGAAATTTTTGTGGGCCACTCTGTGAGGCCCTCTGCCCCCGCACAACCTCTCCCTGCCCTCCGCTATCTTGTACAAGTCATTCTTCTCATGGCTCCACTCCAGCTGTAATCTCTTTTGTCTGTCTGTCAGCACGTTTCTATACACCTCTGCAAAGTGTCCCTCTGCCCCCCGCCCCCCTCTCCCCCCGTGGATGATTGACAGGTGTGATGAAGAAAATGTGAGTGGGCCGCTGCTAAGGTGACTGACTCATTGCCCCCTCCCATTCGCTAATACTTCAGTAATGGGAATATGGATGACTGTCAGATTTCGAGCTGTCATCTCAAATCAAAAATGTGAATTTAAAAAAAGGGGGAAAAAATAACTCTCTCGGACCCTCAGAGAGAGTTCATCTATATTTGGATAATGTACCGATGTTCACTAGAGTTGTGGCTTGGGTCTATTTATTGTATGCGGCCCTCTGCCTTGCTAACCTAGAGATCAAAAACACAGTTCACAGTGTCCTCCAGCCAACTTCAGCTCCTTTATATACATACAATGTCTTGTTGTACAGCTCAGAACCTTGTGAATCCGGTCGTTGTCTTTGTTTTACGTTTTTTCATAATCAACATGCATTTTTGATCATGGCACTACATACCATATATGTTGTGCTAATGTAGCTAGAGAATAAGTAAAATTCCATATTCCATTCCAGTACTGTCACATGGGAATCAATATAGATATGCCATACTTCATTTTAAAGCTCTTTTAAAGTGGCCTTCCTCTCCTCATTTTGTCTTGAAAGTTTAGACACCCCTAGTCAAAGATTTTCACCAATTAATGGAGATTTTTGGTCACTATCAAACCAAAATAAGTTTAGTTCCTCATCAAAAGCACACAAGTATTTTTATTAATTCATTCTTCTTCTGGGAATTGTTTTTGTTATACATCTTGAAAAAGGTACTCAAAACCATGCTTTACCTAGCCTGGCCATAGCCATCCGTACACTCCGCTCAATCATCATTTCACTGCATGTAACCGTCTGGGTCTGGTCCCTGTGTTAGCGATTACAATCGGTTGAATTTCGACTGACCATTCAGAGAGCGCGGAAGGCAGGTGTTGTAGTTAGTTGTAGGTGACGTCAAGAGTTTGCGTCGAACGGGAAGGTCGTAGTTTGGCAATGGCAAAAAATGTGATAGTAAAGTAATCCGGTCTGGTTCTATCAAGAAATTGAAGGCGGAGCAATAGGAATGTTTACAAAATGTAATCGCTGGAAAAAATTGTGGCGCTCCTCCCCACGGGCTCCGTTAGCGGCAAAGGAGATGGCTAGGCTAAATGCTAAATGCTAACGACTCACTCGGGCACATTACATACGTCATGGTAAATTCAGATCCAATCGTTTCAATCTGCAAAAGGAGTTAACCCCTCCTATCTGTAAACAGAGCTCAATGTAGCACCTCCAGACCTTAGAACGAAATGAAATTTGTACTATGGTGTGGTACGACCAGGCTAATGCTTTACCTATACCCTCTGTTTACTTTTTGCCTCTCAATTTCAGAAATAATGATGCATCCCTCATATTTCCAGTCAAATCAAACATTCTGAGATAAATATTGAGGCAAGCGAGTGGAAAATGACACAGTGCGGCTTTAAAACGTATAAGCATTTTCCAGAAACATCCATGCCGGCTGTGGCGCGTCTCCAAAGATCCATTAGTTCTGCTTTTATCACTTCTTTCCAACAGCCCTCATTCTATTCAGGAGGATTGGATTTAGGAACTGATGATTTGCCCAACGCATGCTAAATCGCTTTGCCATTACATTTTTTGTCTGGGCAAAAGTTGAAGGAAGACGTCTTGTCATAAAAAGATAACCTATGTGTTTATATTTTGCTGTCTGGCTGAGCGGATGTGCACATAAAACATGTTTGGATAGTGATTGGCAGAGGGTGACTTGCTTTTCAACAGCTCTGAAGTAACATTTCAAGGTACACTTCTCTGAGCCGATAAGCCTGACAGATACAGAAACACAGAGAGCCAAAGCCCCTCTCTCGTTTTCTCACTACCCCCGTCCGCTCTCCTCTGTCTCGGCCCGGCTTCATCGCACACAAGCCTTCAGTCAGTCGCGCCAAAGCCAACCGGATTCCAGTCAGCTCAAATATAGCAAACCGATCTATATGTTGTTCTCTTGCAGCTGTAACTCAGGCCCGTGCTTGTATCTTATCTAGCTTCCAATCCCACTGTATACACAACAACAAATGAACGTTGCTGGAGCTTTTGGACTGCAGAGAAAAGATTAAAGCTGGGGGGCCTAACCTTGAAACTATACACAGATAATAACATTCACAGCATTAATAACAATTTGGTTTATTGGTTATCAAATGAATGTATTTTTGGCCTTTAGATCTTCCCTTTCAGTCACAAGGGCCAAAAAATGAAACTGGTTCTCACTCACTTCTCAGCATTAAGGTCCTGGGTTTGAATCCTAGTCTGAACATGGCCTTTGTGTGTGGAGTTTGCATGTTCCCCCCATGTCTGCCTAGATTTTCTCTGGGTGCACTGGTTTCCCCTACTTCTAAAAACATGTACAAGAGGCAAAATTGATTCACTTTTTATTTTCATATCCTTGTCTACCTGTAGAAAGTTTTGTAATGTAACAGAACTACAGCAGAAACAAAGAAACAATTATTCTTCCAGACCAAATAGGAGCAAATAAGGACAAGTCTGAATGCAACTTTCAGAAAATGTTTTATTTTGTATATTTTGTGTCTCTTGTGTGACAGATGACTTCAAGTCGGAGCTGAGGGAGCAGCTCCCCCTGATTGCAGGATCAGCGGCCGCAGGAGTGGTCTTCATCGTGTCCCTCGTGGCCATCTCTATTGTCTGCAGCAGGTAAACACAGTACGGGAATTTCCTGAGCAACAAAGAGAACTCCAGTATGTCAGAGAAAATGAATGAACCAAACCACCATCTCTGTACAAACATGTACAGAGAATAACTGAAGTGATTGAATCATATGGAATTTTTGCAATATAGAGTCAAATAACTTGAGGAACTGAAAATATTATTATTAATGGGGACCTGATTATAGTAATATCTGTGATTTCTGTGGCTCTTTATTAAATATATGGTTTGTATGAAAAGTTAAGATTGAGCAAAAACACAAAGAAACGAGTTGCATTTCTCCACCTTAAAGGAGCTATACCCGTTTCTGCAGTGTTTGAATGTTTAGCACCGCCCCCAACTCGCTCACAGACTTCTCATTTCCCCTACGCTCTCATTCCACGGAGCCATCTAGTTTTATTTGCGATCTGATACAAAGGCAAACATTAGCATGAGCTCGACTTCTTGTAAGCTGTACAACAATCATTGATGGTTAAAAAGCAACCCACTGCTAACAAAGTATATCACTGAAAGATTACTGCTAGTTTCGCGTCCGAGGAGGTCCCGCTCCTGCAGGTCTCACCAGATGATACGATGTAAGCTAGCTATGTTCACCAGGGCTTGATTTCTTCTTTGATCATTTTTTCGCTTTAGTTCCCTCTTCTCTTCCTCACTGTTGTGTCGTTTGGGTTGTTTCGCTGAAGATGTGAGACAGGCCTTAACAATGTTTAAAACCAGGTTAAAAACAGTGCTGTTTAGCTGTGCATACAACTGAGGAATTTTATATTTTTATCTTTCTTTTTAATGTTCTGTGATTATATTATTATTTTAATGCTATCTTGTTCAGCACTTTGAGTTGCCTTGTGTATGAATTGTGCTATACAAATAAACTTGCCTTGCCTTGCCTATGCAGTTACAGCCAGAGGAGTTATAGCCAATTCTGCTAACATGCTACTGTTTTTACCAGTGCTGTAGAGGCTAGAAAACGCGGCCTTTTTGCTCCTCGTTCTGTGATTGGTGGAGAGCTGGCGTCACGCTAGGTTTCTACTCAGCATGAATTCATACACAAGCGGAATCAATGAGCTCAAGTTTTCAATTAAATTACAGATTATAAAACAACTTGTATGTAGCAATAAGCATTTTTATTAACTAATAAAAAAAAATTAAAAAAAACTTCTTTAAGTCCTTGTATGCCCTTTAGCTCCACCCCTTTGACAGAACATAAATATGCACATGTATGACTGATATATATATCTGATTGCGCAAGACAGGTGAATCCTCCATATCACGGAAAAAACATGAAAACATAAAGATAGTCAGTAAAACCCAGGGGAAGTAGTTATAGGACTGAGGGGTGAGCAATGGCGACGCACGTTTATGAAGTAATAAACAACTGAAAACATGCATGAATTGGTTTTTAGGTTGAGAAGTACTTGTATGTACTGTTGTTGCCTCATGCACCACCATTAAAAAGGATGCAAAATGGTTGAGGCTCATTTAGTGTCAATAGTAGTAATACTTGTTAGTTTCTTGCTACTTTTGATTGGAGACTAATTTTGTTCACTTGACATCATGCCAATTATAGGTCATTCAAATGTTGCAGAATTACAGATATTTTTTCCCCGGAAAAGATCGACGCATTAAAAAGTAAAAAATCAGTGGTGATAGCGCTTTCAACCACTCTGCCTCGTATAATATTTCATTTAGACGAGATAAAATTATCAATTTCGTCTCTCCTTGAAATCTGTCTGACATCTTTTGACGAGACTTTCCTCTTGTGATTACACTTTAAAACACACATTCCTTCTTCTTCTTTCACATTTTATTATAACTCCTTTGACAAAAAAAGTGATATTTGAGACGCCGAATGAAACGCGTCCTCACATTCATTCCCTCGACGTTCCTCCTTCCTGGCTCTGTCCTCTTCACTTTAATTTTAGGGAGCATTTCGTCACATTGTCACATTTCGCGGCCGCTTTTTTTGGACGTGTAAAAGTCAAATTTTCCGTGTGCAACTCCCCGAGCATGTAAGTGTTCATCAAACGGTCCCGCACTCTTTTGATGCCAAGGCAGAGGAGACAGATGAAAAGCGTTGAGATCCTATCAAGCTCTAATTAAAAATCTGCTCATTTTCATAAACTTCATTTGCCACCGCTAACCTTCCGCGCAAACCCATTACATTTCAGCCGCGTCACTTTTGGTGCGTCACAGTCCAGTAATAGGTTGACTTATCTTTTCATTGAAACCTTTCCTCATTGGTAATCTGAATATTTTTTGCCTTTAGGAAGAGGGCTTACACCAAGGAGGCTGTGTACAGTGACAAGCTGCAGCACTACAGCACAGGACGAGGTGTGTATTTTACTGTTGCAAACAAAATGGCATTTACTACTTCTATGAAAATGTGTATTTCAATGTATTTCACCATAATCATGTCATACGGATTGACAATTCACATGTTTTTTTTATAATTTTCTTCTTAAAACACCTCAGAATGTTAGGTGATGTGTGATTTAATGTGTGATTTCAAAAAGTGTTCATATCATATTCATCCATATTGAAGGCAGAGAGTGTATTGAAGCAGAGGTGTAGACTTGTGGTACTGCGGCTAACGGAGTGTACATGTTCTCCCCGTGTCCTTTCTCAGCAAAAACATACTGGGTTTGGATCTCGGTCAGTGGAAATTACATGTTCTCCCTGTGTCGTTGGTGTCCTCCCAGTGATCCGGTTTCTTATGAGTGCTCCAGATATCCCTAACATTAACAAACATGTAGAATAGTTCAAGGTCAATGATTGTGACTGTGGAACAACGGATGGAAATCAAGTCAAGGCTAAAAATGTGGGTGGTAATTTACATGCACTGTGCCAACCAAATAAACATGTTAATAAGTTTGGGCATCTTGAGCCCTTGTATCTGAGATTGACTCAATTCAATGAAATTCAATTTTTTCTTGTCTAGCCCTAAATCACAACAGTTATCTCAACTTCTTTACCGTTGAAATTGCCAATACAGATCAGAGAATCAAACAGTTCAAACACAAGAAATGCAATGACCAATGTCAATGAATGTTGAGTGTCCTGGATCAACACCACTGTCCTTTTAGTTAGACCCAGACAAGGGTCCAACAGAGCCTCCTGCATCTGCAAGGAACAACTCTAAAACCCTATGGTTATGCCAGCTATAGCTTGATGAAGCTATAGCTGGCATAACCACAGCTGTGACCTTCTCCCATAGTGATATCACCACCTGTACAGTCTCTCTGCTGACACAACGTGTATGATATACAGTAATAGCAGGTATTGTAGATGAAATTACCCCGAGTATGTGCTGTCAGGCCAAATAAATGACATTTTCTCCTCTGACTGACAGACCTCTCTCTGGCCTGCTGCGATAGCCATGATTAAGTCTTGTTATGAGCTCTCTCCTGCTCCGGCTGATGAGACTAGAGCCCACAGCAGCACATGTCTAACCTGGAGACACCCTCGCAGCACGGGCTTATCCTCTCTGAGCCTGGCAGTCAAGAAAATGGGCACAACTCCAGGGGATACCTGGAGCCTGACACTGCAAAACGCTTACATGGTGCGATGCCTCATTAAGATGGCTGTGTCCACAAAGTCACTTCTGCAGTTCTCCTTCAAATGACCAAAGGCAATTAACATGAATGGGCCAAACAAAAACAACAGATGAAAGATGCCTGCTGCGACAATCATCAAACACATCATTTGGAGTGGAGAGGACACGCTACACTGATAAGAAATCCTATTCATAGGTTTAATTCTTCAACCCTCGCCACCCCCCCTCTCAACCCACCAAGCATTGTTTTCTCTCAATTTGACTGACAGTGTTGTAATTACAGGATTCAAAGCCACAATAAAATAGTGCCACTCAGCCAATTGTTTTTGTTGAAATTCCCAAGAATCCCAAATGTGGTTGAAGCCCGCGGCTCAGTGCTGGTGCCATGTATGGCTCTGTGTGTGGCGTGACACAATCACCAGGGGAACTTCACTCTGCGCTACATGGAGTGTTGCGGCTGAATGCTCGTGGTTATGACAGTGACTTGACAATTGGATTAACCCTCTATGGGACGAGGTCATGTGACATACTGATTTGAAAAAACATGAGAAAATAGGAAATGCCTACAGACAAAGTCTGTCCTGACTGCCGTTGAATCCCCCATCTAAGCCTGTAGGTTGTATTTTAATTGCTCACATCAGAATGGCTGCTACACTTCACTACCTCTATCCCCCGAACCCCCAAACACATCCAACCTGGCAGCATTTGTGAATTATACACCATTTGTGAATGCCACTTTTGCCACTTTTTTTCATTCAGTGTTCGTATAAATTCAGAATTTGGACACATATTTTTTGTAACAAGAATAATACTTGTGAATTACATTTCAAGGGCTTTACCTTTAAACAGTGTAATTGCATTTCTGTGCATGTATTAATCAAATTAAACAAACTCCCACATGAACATCTCTCGGCACAAATGAAAGCTTGTGTAAATACCTTTTGAAATTGCTTTACAGCTATTGCCATGATAATCAGCCAGACTATATGTAAAATAGTAATGAGCTATAGATAATGAGTTTGTGTCTAAGAAGGAAAGTCAACTCATTATGCTGTAGGCAGGGGATAGATTAGTGACACACCTACAGTACTAATGTGTTCCCTATGGATCGACTGCCCACTAATTGTATGGAAAGGTTTTAAATGCACGCTCACATACCCAGAAGATCCTTCTTCTGTTCTTTTGTATTTGTATTTGTGATCTTTGCCTAAATACGTTTACATTCACCATACTAATGCAACATGTTGGTGCAACATCAAGTTTATTTTAAGTCAAAAACATTTACAAACCCTAACTCTAACAAAATCTAGCCCTATCCAGTATAATGCATGGGATAGATTTATTGCGCCTTTTTGGACGCTCAAAGACGCTACAAATAGCACTATTGACAGAAGCGAGTGTCTCTCCAGACTCTTACTAGGCAAAGTGGGTGAAATGTCTTGCCTGAGGACACAACAGCTTTGTCACTTTATAGCCGCAGCCACCCTATGTAGCACATGGTGTTCCCAGAAGTCTCCCATCACAGTAATAATCAGGTCCTGAACTGCTTAGCTTCAGAGGTCTGACTTTCACATGCAGGTTGCGCCACAATCACGAAGCAGACTTTCTCCTATTTCACATTAATATACAAATCTGTCACTCTAAAACAGTTTCCCAGTTGTTCTACGTGCAAAGAAAACATATTAATGGTGTGTTTTAGCTGCATTTAATTATTATGTCAAATCTGTGTACAGAACCGGTAATGTGATGTTACCACTGCGTAATTGATAAATGCAGGCATTACAGCGCAGCCTTGATTTGTGGAGGCATTAGGCCATTGAGCGATTGAGTGAAGGAGACTAATAGCGGGCTAAACGTTGGCCACTAGTGAAAATAACATGGTTAAGTGCCTTAGCGTAAACTGTCATTCATCAAACTAAACACCATTAAAACATTTGCGCTCAAGACTCAGTGAAGACATGTATTTTAAATTAATGCATAGATGCTTGATATGCATTTCTCATTCATAATGGATGCACAATGATTACATTCTAATATGAATTAAATCATACTACTTGCCCGGAAGCTATTATTGTTATGCATTTGCACTCAACCAGAATGTTGTTTGTATTTGTGTAAAAATAGAACTGACGTTTTAATGCATGTCCTTTGTGCACTCTCATATAAAGGTTATGAAATATGCAAGAATTTATATATTTTTCATCTCTTGGCCGCATTGAGAGTCCAGTTAACCGGGACTGTACCGCAGGGAGGGCGCCCGATAAACTGTCTGTGATCTAAAAAATACATGCAAATAAGATAGATCCTCTTAAATATCTGTGCACGTGTTTTAGGAGCGAGAGGAGAGGATTTTTGTTGTTATTGGGTGTTTTCCTCTGGGTACATCTTGGCGACACATGTAAATAGTCAGTCTTTATTGATTGCATAGCTGTAAACCCCTCGCTGGATTAACGCTAATCCAATCTATATGCAATCTCTGATGAGCAATTACATTCAAGCAGACAGGGTTCAAGGCAATTATAGCACTAACTCAAATCAGCTCATACCAGAGAGTGAGGCGATCCCCCTGGAACCTCATCCCTCCTCGGTCTCTGCGGGCCCCTCCTGGTGCCTCCTGGTGTTGCCTATATGCAAATAGGAGCTTTCTTGATGAACATGGGCTTATTACTATCATGGTGCCAGCATTTAGATACATACCTTTCACAATGACTTCTGCCCTCTGATTGAATGATTAAGGGTATTTGTTGTTCTATCAGACAAAAATGTGCTAAGTGAGCTGCAGACTAGTCATGTGCTAGGATCCTGCTTGAGGTCACCTGGTATGAGATATACCATATTTCTCGGGCCTAAATCGCACCAGCTAATTTTGAAAACAAATGCATACTGTATAAGCCACACTCATACAGTATACGCTCAGGTTTTCATGTTGTATCTTTCCAACAGTTTATGGACAGCCGATTATGGGCACTTATGTTATTTAAAATTAATGCCAGGGGCTTTTCAAACTGTTAAGACAGAGACTTTGTGAAGACCGACACTGGTTAAACACACTCATACTCACCTCAGCTTCCTGAAGAGTTTAAATGTTGTGTAGTTGAAAAATCCTTACTGTACATAACACCACAGTGCCCCATGGCCAAATGGTCAAATCAATTCTTTAAACTGAAATGCAATTCTTACTTGCTGACATCACCTTTAAAACCCCTTCTAATCGTGGGACACCGGCAGCCCAGATCTGAAATCTTAACTCTACATTCGTGTTTTGTGACAACTGCGCCAAACAACCTATCACAATGTAAAATCGGATTCACTGCCGACTGTGCTATAGGCCAGTATCGAATGTGCTTACAAGTGTTTTCATAGTTGTCTTTTCGTGTGCAGTCTGTCGGTGCAGAAAATCCCCACACTGTTTGTAGACTGTGCCATTCTTTGAAGCTCACCCTTTGCCGAGGTGCAGAAAGGCATAAAGACCTAGTTGATGGCACACAGGTTTTATCTCTTTATGAAGTCCTATAGGGATAGGCTGGGGGGAAATTGGTTCTAGTGTTATCAAAGACGAGAAAGTGCTGGGCTAGGGGATAACAGGACAGAATTATAGTCACATTTACTTCTGCTATATCTGTGTTTGTCCATTTGTAACCTTTCGTTCTTCTGTCTTTGTTATACATGCATGTCTGTTATGTACGTTTTATGGAGGATCACCACTGTCAAAAGGTTAAGGTCAAGGTACGCATTAACAATGACAGGCTCAATGTCACTAGAGCCTCTGTCAGCTTGATCAAGACTACCAGAGCTGGAGGATTTTACCACAGTAGTAGTAGTAGTAGTAGTGATGTATGTTTTCAGCTTATCTACAAAATAGAAAAAACAAAAACCAGGATACGACAGTTATAAACCGTAATACACAGTTTTAAAAGGGTTTGGACGAAGCTCATTCAAAACACAATGCACTCAGACAAGGCACAGGCCCAAGTTTATAAAGGTAGGGGAAACCGGAGCACCTGGAGGAAAACTTTGCAGACACTGGAAGACCCTGCAAACTCTACTCAGAAAGGCCCTGTTCTGACCAAGATTTGACTGTGTGAATTCACAAGTATAATTTTCTACATTGGTCAAACAGATTTTGACCAAGTTCTTTCATTCGTTCTCTCCACACTCCTAACACTAGCAGTTTTTCAGTACTGCTTTGTCAGGTGTGCTTTACTTTGTTGACAACATTGTTCATTACTCATTAACACAGACCATCATAAGCTAATGTCAGTAAAACAGGGAGAAGTTTAATGGAGTACTCTGGTTGTCCTAGAACTCTCTTTGCGAGCCGACATGTCTAACTGCCCCTCCCCACTGGGCTGCCCGACCCACTTCTCAGGCTCCCCCGGGATGAAGATCTACATCGACCCCTTTACCTATGAGGACCCCAACGAGGCGGTGCGCGAGTTTGCCAAGGAGATTGACGTCTCAACAGTCAAGATCGAGGAGGTCATTGGAGCAGGTACATGAGATATTTTAGGAGTCTCAAAGACATCCATCTTCTGCATGTAGGTTATACGTACAGTTGTATGTAGTGTGTAAGATAAGATGAGATGAGACAGTTTTCATTGATCTCACAATGGAGAAATGTACATAAATACTCACGTTGTGCAAAAGACAGAAAAGTTAAACAGTTAAAATATAGTCTCTTTTGTGCGAGATATATTTTGTACAATTAAAGTAAAAGTGACTATGGCAGTGTAAGTGACCTGCACAAGGACTATGGAGATCCTAGTGCAGGTCATCAAAGTGACTTGTACTTACTGTACAGTCTGACAGCGGTGGGGATGAAGACTCCATGAATGATGAAGCATGTACAAGTGGTTGTATCTGAAATACTTCTCCATCCAGTAATTATTTAAATCAAATACATTTTCAGGAAGGATATAAAAGTTATCAATAACTACTCTTGAAACATAATGCAAAATACGAGCAAACAAGCCTGAGGGGGTTTCAACATACTATTCAATATATACATTCAGGAATAAGAGGTTTTCTGTATAAGTCATCGTTTTTCAGCACATTTCCTACTAATAATAGGAAACTTTTCTATATAGTGTTGGTATTGTGTGGGAGGATTCGTGCAATGCAGAAGCTAAAATACTCCAGGTAATGGGATTAGAATAGCTTGTGCTGCATGGCCTACTCAGCAAGCTACGTGTGAGGAAGTGGCAGAGATAGGATAGGGGTTAGGATGCGGGGGGACTGACTAATTAAAGATTTCCGTTTGTGTTGATTTCACTGTGTGGTGCCACTGCAGGACACCAAGGTGGTGGTAATTAATGGTTTTGAGATTTTATGGGTTAGAGCTGGCTGTTGAGGGTTTCTGGGATCTGAGGCAGATTTTGATAATGACAACAAATGTTTATTATTGGACAATAATTAGTGTAACAGAATGTGCAATGATCAATGTATATCATAACACTTTTGAGAGCTGAGGATTTTAATGTTATATAAAATAGGTGGATATTAATGTAGATCTCTAAGTTGATGTAACCAGAATAAATGTGTTTTGATGAGTAGCGTAAAATGTATGTTAATAAATGTTTTATTAAACAAATAAATACATTCATTTGTCTGTAGGTGAATTTGGGGAGGTGTACAAAGGTCGACTAAAGCTTCCTGGTAAGAGAGAGATCTATGTGGCCATCAAGACCCTGAAGGCCGGCTATGCGGACCAACAGAGGCGGGACTTCCTCTCAGAGGCTTCCATCATGGGGCAGTTTGACCATCCCAACATCATCCGCCTGGAGGGTGTAGTGACAAAGAGCCGTCCCGTCATGATCGTCACAGAGTTTATGGAGAATGGAGCTCTGGACTCTTTCCTCAGGGTGAGTAAGCAGCAGCTGGGATCATTCAGTTTCTTTATTTCCGAATAGGTCCTTTAAAAAAAAATAAAAAATCATGTTTTCTAAACAAAGAATTCCAGTTGCACTCTTTTTGCTTTTAGCAAACATTTCCAGAAAACGTGTCACGCTTTTAATTTTCCAAAAGATTTTAAAATCGTCAAGTGTGCAATTGACCTTAATTGAACATTTACATTACTAACTCTCACTGTAATTACCAGATTAAACACCAAGGCTATTAATGGACTCTAAAGTCTTCTCTTGTCTGATTGAATGGACATACAGATCAATCAATATTCTCCTCACTTTTTTCCTCTTTCAATCTCATGGATTGGTCTTCTGTTCTGCTTTGATCTCGGGTGGGTTTAAAGGGGTTCTTTGAAGTTGGCTTTGCTAACCGCCACATCCGACTTGTATTTCCATCGATCTCCCTCAGCTTCTTATTTGTTTCTGGGGTTCAAAGCTGCAACAGAGCATTCACACGGGGCTGAGTCCATCATGCATGTGGATGTCCCGCAGTGGGATGTCTGCAGGCTTCAATAGAACCATGCTCACGACTGGAACACACCTGCAACAGTCGCTCATAACAGGAGTAACTGTCATTCTATTGTTTTAAGGAAAAGGGTTTTACGTGTACTAGCACAGAATTTGCTTCCATTTATTTTTGTATATCCCTAAATCACACCAGCTGTTACCTCAGAAGACTTTACAAAGTTGTTGATTCCTCAACAACAGATTAGAGAAACAAACAACACAGGAATACTAACAAACACATAGGAGCCATTGGTCAATAGGGGGTCGGAAAACCAATGTCCAAAATGTCCTTAAAACTCAGTGGGAAAACATAAGAAACTTCAGAGAGGCCCAATATATTCGCCCTGTGCTATCCTTGGGTCAAGTTGACTTGCCACAGTGATGAAAATATCCTAAATGAATAATAAAAATAAAAAAAGTGATTTGGATGATTTTTCCTAACTTGACCAGCCCTGAGTTTTAGATCATAATGTAGGATATTTTTCTACTACTATTAATCATTGTGGCGGGTAATTGTGACCCGAGGGTAGCACAAGATATAGAGGGATCCATTCCCACGGAGGGACAGGCTTTGGAAAAAAACGGACACTGAGGCCGTGCGGTGCAGGACTGAGGCTCCCAGGCGGGGAGAGGGGTGACGCTCACAGGCGGGAGACCAGATCACTGGTACAAGTTCAGGGGTCCCATCATCGTGCCATGCAGCTAAAATCTGGAACAGTGTTCCTGAAAACGTGAGACAGGCTTCTACACTGTCAATGTTCAAGTCCAGGTTAAAAACAGTTCTGTTTAGCTGTGCCTACTTTCACTGTTTTCAATTGCCCCGTGTATGATCTGTGCTTTACAAGTAATCCTTCCTTGACTTTTACAGCAAAACGACGGCCAGTTCACAGTCATCCAGCTTGTGGGGATGATGCGTGGGATCGCTGCTGGGATGAAATACCTCTCAGAAATGAACTATGTGCACCGAGACCTGGCGGCACGCAACATACTGGTCAACAGCAATCTGGTGTGCAAAGTGTCCGACTTTGGGCTTTCACGCTACTTACAGGAAGACACATCTGACCCCAGCTACACCAGCTCTCTGGTAAGCATTCTTGTGTATATTTTATAGTGTTCTCTTAAGTGTCCCCCAAACCATCTCTGCGATTGGTCCCATCCGTCTTGTTCCTTTTTTTAGACAGAAAACCTTTCACCTTTTCACTGCCTTCTATTTTATATGAGCTCTCTCCACTCCTCTCCCCTGCATCGTCCGCCGTGCTCGTCCCTGCGCTGTGCAAGGGTCTGTCACATCTTCATTAGAGTGTAGACAGGGATCCTCGGGGAAGGCTCTTCCGTGCTGACATGCCGGAGTGCAAAGAAACCAAAAGGCATTGCGGCCTCTCTAACTGACAGCTCAGACCCCCACATGCCACAGCACCCCTCTCCTCATTCATTATTACAGGGGCATCATGGGAGGCTTCAGCCCTCGTTAACTGCTCCACGCTACAGAACTGTAATTATTAGCAGCCATCGTCGGGTCTTTCTCGGCGCCTTTCTCAATTGCCTGATGCACAACACATCGCTCACGCCGACACAAACACGCGAGCACAGGTCATTAGGGCTTTGCACGTGCTTTGGCTCGGGTTGTGTGTGGCAAATGAGTAATACAACTTGTATGATCTTTCTTTTTTTATTGGACCTTGGGTACTTAATTCTTAACTACAAAACTATTGACTATGTAATAAAAATACATCTAAATAGTTCCACGCTTTCAAAACAGTTTGGTTCTATCTCTGGTTTTCAAATTATTACGTTTTTGGCATCTGTCGATTGGCTTTTTCCGACAGAAAAGTGAAAAAGAAAGGACCACCCTCACTCAGCCAGGCCTCTTTCTTACAACTATACAATGATGACATGTATTATTTTAAGATGAAGAAAGCATTTTGTGGCTTTATTTTACTTAAATAAGAGATGTTGGGACAAACATGTAATATTTATGAAAGAAAAAAGTGAGTTACCCCTGCTTTAACAGGCCCCCTCTTATAAACACATATTTGCAAATGACAATTTTAATCAAAAATAGTTACTAGTCTGCAGAGAGTCCCTTTTCAGCTTAAGTTCCACTCAAGTATTATGATTTTAATTATTTATTGGTTGTTTTAACATGCGACAATAACATTTGCTTTCTATATTTGGCCGCTTGGGTCAGATTTAATCCCACTCTGCACCTTTATAGGAAGGTTGTATCAGGCTGAAGTGTGACTGACCTCACTTTTCCACGGCACATGGCTAATTGCTCCTGACCAATCGCCTGTGTGTATGGCTGACCCCTGTGGCTAAACCCTGCTGAACGGGTCTTAACAGCTACAAAGGGGAGCAGCACCTTTGTTGTCTCCGCTGCTGACACGGCTAATAAGTCAGTCTGCCAAGGCTAGAATTGCATTATAGATCAGGGTGAGCGTTTTGACTTGGTTTGATGCAAAGAGTGTTTTCTTCAGGGCATTGTCTGGCATGTGCATAAGAGAAAGTGAAGGCTAACCTTGAAAGATGTAGATTTTCCGAAATACACAATTTTGAAGGATGTGCTGTGACAATACTCAAAGTCAGCTGCAGATAAATGTGGGAATCGATGTCAAATAGAGAGCTGTAACAATTAATCAATGAATTGCAACTAACATGTTTTTTCAATAATTTTGGAAAAAAAGTGAAAGTCCTCTGATGATTTTGTTTATGTATTTAACAATTCAAAAAAACAACAACACATAACCGAACATGAAGAGCCTAATTTAAAGGTGATGCTGGCATACTGTATTTAAAATATATATATGTAAATATCTTAATTTAAAGGTGATGCTGGCATACTGTATTTAAAATATATATATAAATATCTTAAAGGACAACTCACCCTCAAATCCACTTTTTGGTGTTGTCTACATATCCTGGTCATAATTTTGTCACTTTGGTGCAAATTAGTTGAAAGTTAAACTTTCTGCCTAAAACCGTCTGTGAGGCGCCATCTGCTGGCGACCTGTATTACTACATTTGAATTTTGAATCTGGCGCCAACACTGGCGCGCCAGCAAGACCTGACGTCTGAAGAAAGACCTGACGTCAGCAGCCCCCCGCCCAGAGCAATGTAAACGGCCCAGTCTCGTTCACGCCCCCTTTAGTCCTCCAGGCTACGCCCATTTAGAGGAAGATTTGAACAGGAAATGTGAGTGACGTAAGCTCCGAGGAGCGGGGGTGAGAACCACTTTAAATTAAAGGTGATGCTGGCATACCGACCATGGGGTATTTTTCAACCAAAATATATTCACTTGGCATAACTGTGACTTGTAAGGTTTGCCGCAGGAGAGTAGTTAAGCCAATGACGAGGGGCCTCAAGGATTCAAAATAATTTTGACCAATCAGTGAGCCGCAGGGGAGACCATGGGCTAACCAGATCTTGTCTTCAAAAAGTTTCATTTTTTTAAGGCAAGGCAAGTTTTTTTGTATAGCACAATTCATACACAAGGCAACTCAAAGTGCTGAACAAAATAAGAAAGCATTAAAATCATAAATAATCACAGAACATTAAAAAGAAAGATAATCCCTCAGTTGTATGCACAGCTAAACAGAACTGTCTTTAACCTGGTTTTAAACATTGTCAGAGAGGAGGCCTGTCTTTAACAGTTTGAAAAGTAACTGACATTCACTTCAACCAAATTTAAACAAAACTCGCATAACCAAGCTTGACACAACTAACGATAAATTACAGGAATAATCCCTAGATGAATCAATTATCAAAACCATTTTTAGTTGCAGCCCTAGTCCAGTATTGACATAATATTGCACATTCATGGATCTAAATTGGAGGTGATAAACTGCATAGAGACACAGGGATATAACTGTCAACTCTTGCACTGATGGATAAGGAAATGCAGCTCAAGTATAATTATATTTTGCTCACCCATAAATCCCCTGTAATTCCCCCCTTTGAAGTTTTATGCAGTGGATTTGAATATCGGGGGCTTAGAGTCTATAAAAATGACCTCCTTTTTAAAGAACATGTAATTGTTGCACATGTGAAGAGGACACAAGGACTCCTCCGTCACTTGACATACCCATTTGTCATACGCCATATTCTCTGCAACATGCAAACAATAGTGACAAAGTGTACGGGTTCAGAGGTCTCCGGTACGATCCTCTCCTGTAATTAAGCAACGCGCTGTGCCCTTCACTCACTGACCTCTTCGCTGCAAACCAATCAGCACCGGAGGTTAGTGTGGCAGACAAGGCCGGGGAATCTGGGAAATTAAATTGCGCTGACATGTCGTGATTTACATCGGCATCGACCTCCTTCTACCTCAAATTAATCACCTCTTCCTTCACACGCCATTTCTTCTCTTCTTTTTTTTCTACCATTGGAAAGAACACCAATTACAGAGCCTGCGGTGCGATTTTGGTGCAGGGATGTATGTTTGGGAGGACATGCTGGTAATTGTGTTAACCCGGGATGGAGATGCACTCGGGAGCAGTTGTTGTGGTGGTTTTTCAGACAGAAGGGGGCTGCGTTGGCCTGGTACCAAGCAGTGATTAATTGGACTCTCAGGACAGTGTTTGGACTGTGCCCGTCCAGTAAAGGTGATGTGTGTTAATTAATTTCAAGACTTGAAAGATCAAAGGTTGTGTTGCAGCTGTGGGTACAATGTGGTCACAAGATAATGCATTTTTATGTAAGGAATAGAGTTGTCACAGATAGACTTAGTATTGAAATTGTTATCACTACTCAATACCAATGTCAATGCCACGGCAATATTTAAAAAACTAAAAAACAAATTTTCATATTGGGTAACGCATGTTTTACATAAATTACAAAACATATGTATTTGTATAAATCCTCATTTACCTACATGTCTTTTCTGCCAAAATGTAGATGTGTATTTTCTATGGTTTTCTCCAAGCTGAATGCTGATTGGTGCTGTTTTTGTTGTTTCTGGTTATAGTAAGCTATATTAATAGGGTTCGGCTTCTATAAGTGTTTCACTTCAGCCTAAACCCTTTCAGTCATTTTTATGTTTTATTTTTTCAAATGATCTGTATTTTCTAAGTTGTGGAAAAAGTGACTGAACAAATAAACTACTACTACTACTACTACTATATAAGTATGTTTGGTAAAAGCTTGTTGGTACCACAAGATGAAATAAACATCTAGTTTTAGTATTGTTTTTTTTTTAAATACTAACTAGATCCACAAACATTGTTATTGTGATCAAACGCTTCATATGTACACTAATCCAAATGTAATTCTCTTGAAGATGTTATTTACTCTCAGAACAAGATTATACTTTTCACTGGATACCAAAAAAGTTGCACCATAATTTCAACATTGATCATAAATATCGCATGACTGTGTAGGTCATCTAACCATGTTATTAGCTCATATGGGGTCTGAATATTTTATCACAAGATTTGCTTTTCATGTTTTCATCCCACTCATGCTTTCCCTTAAGTTATTTGCTGCAGTTCCACAGTTTCAATGGCATTTGAACCCTTTTTTCAACCCTTGCATATGGCAGCTGCAGAATCTTTTCTCCTGCTCTTGGTGTGATCGGTTAAAAGGTCAAGGAGGCCATGCTGTGTTTGTTTCCAAAATGTTCTTCAGTATTTAGTTTTTTTTCTGGTGTCAGGCACAACCTTTGCTCATTTCCTTGAGGCAAGTTGAGCTCGGGTCACAGAACATCTCTTTAACTATCTTTGAAGGCATGTCACTCACTCATTATGCTAAGCCATCACGACTGCATGGACTGGGTTCTATGTCCTGTTGCCTGCGTGTGTGAGAATGTGAGAGGGGTTGAAAGGGGAGGTCACAAAAGCTCGTCATAAAGCCCTTTGACAAATGACATTGTCTCAGCCACGCTTCACTGCTCTGACTGCGGACAGACGGACGGCCATGTTGTTCTGTCATCAGACTATTTGCATCCCTTTTGTCCTCTCGCTTTTGGCTCTCAGCCTTCAGTACAGTGTTTGGCTTCTGAACACGACTTTTAGTGGAATATTTATGCCCTGTGAAGTGAAGTAGACTGATTCTCTGAAGTAAACAGAGAAATAGGAGCATCTCCGAAGC